AAAGAAAGAAAGAAAGAAAGAAAGAAAGAAAGAAAGAAAGAAAGAAAGACCAATCAATGTTAATAGAAGTCATATAGTAATTATCTCTGTAGGAGGTAAAAATTGAGGTGGAGCACAGTACAGATTTCTGTGGTGTTAATATTCTCTATCTTGGTCTGGACAGTAGTTACTAAGTTTTTTGGATTTTTTTTTAATTCATTGAGTTGTTCAGTAATACTTTGTATACTATGTTGTATATCTCTGTGTATTTCTATGTTTCAGTTTGCTACATATTTTACAAGGGTAAATATATTTTCAAGGACAGGCACAAACACATGAAGGTAGTTATTAAAGTAAATGCATGTAAGGGAGGAAAATATCACTGGTAATTGGATGTAAAGCAGAAAAATAGAGATGGACTGTACATAATTTATTGCGCACCTATGGTCTTTCCCCCCCCAAACTAAGTATTCTGAACTTTAATGTTCCAAGTACCTACTCAGTTTGAATCCTATTTCACAACGACCTCCACTTCCCCTACTGATTTACAGTAACATACCAGTGCTAAGCTGTTTCCTTACCCAGGTACAGATGTTATAAAAATAGATGGGTATGAGGCCTGAAAGTACTAGGAATCAGCTCTGCATATAAAGACTGTGCAAAGAAAATGTATATTAAATGTGAACTTCTTGAACTTCTACATAAAATGAACATGAATTTTAAATGTTCTTCCCACGGTCTCAGCATTACCAAAAGAAATGAAGAAGATAAAAGTCATACATTTCACCTGGCAATCCTAAAAACTCCACAACATGTGAAGAGCTGGATTATGTATATAATTCAGTGAGGGGGAAAGTTCAAGGTGCTGAAACCATCATCTAGCGTCAGACTGGAGGGATAGGAATGGGATGGTTGAGAATTCCATAACCTTATACTTCCTTCCAATTATTCAATGCTAAGAAACAATCCATTATCCCAGAGGAAACAGCTCCAATCTTCACATAACTGAGTACTGAGCACTGAGTACTACTTGCAATGCCAGAAGTCCAGATACAGCAAAGCACATGCCCAGAATAAAAAAAATGAAGGTGGGGGAAAAAAAAGAAGATGTGGTGTATACATATAATGGAATATTACTCAGCCATCAAAAAGAAGAAACCTTGCTATTTGCAACGAGGTGGATGGAGCTAGAACATAGTATGTTAAATAAAGTAAGTCCATCAAAGAAAGATAAATACCATATGATTTCACTCATACATGGAATTTAAGAAACAAAACAGATGAGGGATACCTGGGTGGCTCAGTTGGTTAAGCATCCAACTTCAGCTCAGGTCATGATCTTGGGGTTAGTGAGTTCGAGCCCTGTGTTGGGCTCTGTGCTGACAGCTCAGAGCCTAAAGTGTGCTTTGGATTCTGTCTCCCCCCTCTCTCTGCTCCTCCCCCACTCACGCTCTGTCTCGTTCTCAAAAAAATAAACAAACATTAAAAAAAATGAACAGATGAACACATGGGAAGGGGAGGGGAGAGAGAAGAGAGGGAAACAAATCACAAGAGACTCCTAATGATAGAGAACTATAGGTTGATGGAGGGAGGTGGGTGGGAGAGGAGTAGATAGGTGATGGGTACTAAGAAGGGCACTTGTTACGATGAGCCCTGGGTGTTTTATATAAGTGATGAGTCACTGAGTTCTACTCCTGAAACCAATATTGCACTGTATTTAACTAAAATTTAGATGATAGATAGACAGACAGACAGAAGCTCCTGGGTGGCTCAGTCGGTTAAACGCCTGACTTCAGTTCAGGTCACCATCTCTCAGTCCATGGGTTTGAGTCCCATGTCAGGTTCTGTGCTGACAGCTCAGAGCCCGGAGTCTGCTTCAGATTCTGTGTTTCCCTATCTCTCTGTCCCTTCCCTGTTCACACTCTTGTCTTTTTTTGTCTCTGTCTCTGTCTCTCTCAAAACTAAATGAACATTAAAAATTTCTTTTTTTTTTAGTTAATAAATAAATAAATAACACGGTTGGTGTCAAGACAATTAGGAAACCATCTGGGCAATTATGGTTAAGAGTGAGGTATTGTCCAGAAAACATTTAACCATTAAAAATTAATTAAGAACTAAAACATAAACAGATTAAATGTAGGAAATTATAATATTTATTTTCACAGTGGGAAAGACTTTCAAACCCTGTCACAAAATTCAGAAGACAGGTTTGAGAGACGAAATTGGGGAAATACTCCGACAAGAAAAAGAAACAGTAATCACCATAATGTATTCACAGGAAAGAAACCACACATGGTTGGTATGATAGTAACATAATAATGTAAGCTAGAACCAAGACAAAATACCAATTTTCAACTATCAGGCCAAAGATCAGGAAGTTTAACAACACAGTCTTGGCAAAGGTTTGTGACAGGTAGTCTCACATTCTTGCATATAATTCAATGTCTATGCAAGACAATCAAGCAGTATCTATCAAAATTATAAATGTTAAATTTCAAACAATTCCATTTCCAGCACTTTATAGAACAGATACACATGCACCAGTGCTCAAAGACACAAATAAATATAAAATTAATTGTCAACACTGTATCAATAGACTGAACACTCCAACAAACAGGCATCAGTATAAGCTGCTTACATAATTGATGTAATTATATACACCCAACAGAATACCATGCAATCACGTCAACTGAAGTCCAAGCAAAATTCCCAGTCTTTTTATAAAGAAATTGGCAACCTGATTTTAAACCTTACATGGAAATGTAGAAACTATATACTATGATCAAAGCCTTTTTTAAGAAAGATTTTCTTGAATACCGATAACTATCCAATTTCAAGACTTACAAATCTACAGTAATCAAGGCACTGTAATACTGATAAAGGAAGCAGAGATCAATAGAATAGAGAATCCAAAAATAGACCCATACATTTATGATCAATTGATTTTGGCAAAAGTGCCAACACAAATCCATGGGGAAACAAAGGCTGAAAAAATGATGCTGGAACTACTGGATATCTAAATAGAAAAGAAGGGGAAAAAAAAAAAAATCAACCCTTACCTCACACAACCCACAAAAATAATTTGAGATTGATCACAGAAATGAGTACAAAAGTATAAAGTTCAAGAAGAAAACAAAGGCAAAATCT